AGTAGAGTAGAGAATGATGATGGGTTGATAGAGAGCATCATTGATGCTGCCAAAAAAGGACATATGACAACCGACATAGTTGTGATTGGTAGAAGAGAAATATTTTATACTAGTCAAAAGATCTTTTCTTATATTTTTAAATACTATTTTGAAGAAACTTTTATATTAGAATACAATACACAATATATTTTTATCTTTATTGTCTATGTGTCTTTTATAGCTTAATGTAGAAATATGATTATTGCCTTTAATGCCGCAATTTGGGTTGTTACAGTTATAAAAAGATAACAAAATAATTTTAATGAATATATACTTGAAATTAACAATTTTTTTAAATAAAATTTAAATTAATATTTATATTTATTACTTCTTATTGCTTTAAGGATAACAAAATAAACATGATAAATTATAAATCCATTTTCTATTTTATTATCAATATAATTGAATAACATGATAAATTATTTTTTAACAAAAATATTATTTTAAACGTTAAATTTAACTTATAATTATTACCAAAAGCTAGTTAACAATCTCATTAATTAAATTTATTTATTAAACTTAACAATAATATATATCTTATATAAGTTAAGCATTACGAACAAAATATGACAATAAATTTAGTTTCTCATGTATGCATATATTATTTTGTATTGTATATAATTAATTTTCAGAACTTCATCTAATATAAATTCATCCAAATCATTAATTAAAATATATATTATAATTCTTATTAACAACCTTAAACTTAAAGATTTATTGATTGAAGGGGATGAATGGGTAAAAAAATGGATCTATTTGAGAATAGAATCACATGTTGTTGTCTCAGTACTTGTTTGTCCAATGTAATGAATGTCAGTACTTTACCCCACATGAAAAAGTTAATCATGCAATTCTACTATTATTGCTTGCATTTAACTTTTTCTTTTATCTTATCTTCCTTACAACAACAAACTGACAGCAAGAGGACGAAAGAAATAAGTCATGATGTTTTGGTACAACAGGATCCAAGACAAACCACATGTGCGTATCGAGCTGTAAGATCACTTTTCCTCTTTTATTATATATAATGTTGGTTGAACATTCCTCTGATTCACAATAACTAGTATTATTTGGAGTTAATATCCAAGAGAATTTTTATTAACATAAACTCTTTTTTTAACAACATTCAATTAACAAAATTGAATAAAAAATAATTGTAACTAACATCAGCTAAAAAAATATTTTTAATTATTAAATATTTAAATTAAAATAAATTGTGTATTTGATCATAATTGAAACATTATATTAAAACAAAAAAACATTAAAATTTAACAAATTTAAAACACCTTGGCCAGGGAGAACATTTTACAAATAAAACAACTCGAATATTAAAAGTTTCAAAATCAATATATTAACATAAACTCAATTCAAACGTCATGTAATTTTTTAAACTTGAAATCAATTAAGGTTTGGAATCAAAAGAAAACTTAAAACTGTTTCACTTCAACCTTTAGAGTAGTGGAAAGGCCGGAGACCATGAGTGACATGAAATGACACCATAAACATAAACATTTAGCAGGTCATTCTAACCAAAACGTACGAAATGTTGCATTCAGACGCCAACAGATATTTTAGACTTGCTTCAAAATATCAATCATCTTACTATAACAATACAAAATCATCACTGTCATTAGTGCCTGGAAAATGGACTAGGTACAAAATAATAAATTCGTTTATTATCCAAAGGTCGATGTTTCATGTTTTCTTTTATGGAAGAAAAGAGGTATTACCTCAACTCGATTGCGGTTGATTATGATTTATGGGCCACAGATCTGTTTTATTTTATGGAAGAAAAGAGGCCAGGCCACCATTTGGAAATGGACATCGTTAAATTGTCCCTAGCAATTCTGACAAGATATTTTTGGAGTAAAAGATAGCAGAATCCATAATACTTCACAGTATCAAACTGTACAGAAATAATTACATTTGCAGGCAATCACATGTGACCACAATAATTGTCAGTGTAAAAACAAAATTCAGCTAACAACATTTATGTAATAAAGGGACACCAATTAATGAGTAAATTTTGCACCTTTCCATTTCCCATGGCTTTGGAGAGTGAATTATAACACAAACAACAGGCTGGCTACTTGTTAAAAACGATGCCAAAAATTCACCTTACAGAACTGTACATAGTTGTAATGGTGAATTCATGCTATTTGAGATATAACTTCACTGTCTTCAGGGAAATGATGTCAACTCATATCCCAAGTTACAGTCCACATAAGTTATAACAGACAGATCTTGACTATCAGGTATGTCTTACGATGGGAGAAGAGGTTGTTGTGCACCTTTGACAAAGGTGGCAAGCTCTGTTGGTGCTACCACCATTCTTAACCACTTTTGTAGCTCTTCACCCTCAACTTTCTCCTTTTCTGAAGAATAAGCACCACTACAACATCAGAACTAAGCCCAGAATGACGAGTTTCAACATCAGTATCGTATACATTCACGAAAGTAAATGATGCTAACATCTCAAATTAATTAAAATCCCTTACATGACCAATTTTTTGAATAATAAACTCCAGGTGGAATGAACTTGTAAGCCTAAATCTAATCTCCACTCCTACTTGATATATTTTAGAAGCTGTAAATCCAAATCTAGCATAATTATTCGTGCAATTTCACTGATGGCTTAATGACACAAATGAATATACAAACAACACATGCATACGGTCAGATGAGCATTTGTTCACACTTCAGACCAAACAGCTAATGCCAGGGGGCATGTAACATTGGTATCAAGAGTTATGAACACGTTCAAGAATAATTCATTATATTATTTATTTAAACAGTACTACCTTAACACTAAACATATCAATCAATCATTAAAGTATGTTATAAGATATTACATGTATTCATTGCTATTAATTTGTAATGGCCAGAGAACACTGCTAGATCACCTAAATTAAGAACAGTAAGCATAATTACCTTCCAAATCAGCACCAAGACCCTCCAAAACAGTTGGATTTGCTCGGATAATGGATAGTGCTACAGCCAGTGCAGACTGCAGTAATGTTTGCACCTCTTTTTGAACAAGATCAACAAGATGTCCCTGTTGAATTCAGACCAAAATCAGCATAAGAAAGAAATTGAATAGGAAGAAGAAAAAGTTACAGAACTGCAAGACCTGATCCCTTCCCCAAGGAACTGCTCCCCCAAACTCATCAACTCCACCACTAGAAAGTGTGGCTATTGAAACAGGGCCTATGGTCTGATTAAGACCATATTCAGCTATAGCCTTGTATGCCATGTCAGTTGCCCGTCGTATGTCATCAAGTGCTCCTGTTGATACTCGACCAGAAAAAGCAATTTCTTCAGCAGCACGTCCTCCAAGAAGGGTAACCAGGCGACCATGCAACTCATCAACAAATAGCAAGTATCTATCCTCGGTTGTTGGAGGAATATAAGTAAATCCCAAAGCCCCTCCTGACCTTGGCAATATACTTAGCTTCTGATGACAAACACCATATTAAGGCATTGAATCATACTTAAAAAGTATTTAAAGATTAATGAAGATCAACATATAGATTTGCAAGATACAAGTTATATATGCACAAGTAGTCAGCAAATTTTAAGAGTAGCTTCTACAACTGTGAGTACTTGTTTACAAATAATATGACGATGAATAAAAAAATGAAGCACATCCCAAACTTAATGGAGCACGGTATATACAGTACTTTGCCTGCAGAAGCTCCTGTCTCAGATTTTCACAATTTCACCTTACTTCTATTTATCAGATATCGCTCCAGAACTTTTTACATTATTCACCATAACAGCTAGAATTTCTAAATATCAACAATGCAAAATTGCTAGTGAAAATTAACCCATCCACCTCATCTCTCATCCCCAACCCCATAGAGATAAGAAAAAACAATTTCTGGCCAATGGCTAAGAATCTCAAAAGCAAAGCCAATATGAACTAGAAATAATCAATCATCACAGTAAATTTAAACATAAATAAAGTAATTCTAGTTGTAGGTTAATATACCAAGAATCCTAAATACTAGCAACTGAAATCCAAAATTTCAAATAGGCAATATGCATCCTCAATCCGAATGAGCATTTTTTAGTTACCAGTATGAGCATCTTCAACCATTTACCTCAACACGTGGTTGTCCAGGAAGAAGCTTTGCAACTGCAGTACCTACTACAGCATGACCAGCCTCATGTCGTGCAACTACAGCCTTCTCGCTTCCTTGCAACTTGGCAGTCTTCTTCTCTATGCCCTAAAACAAATAATGTTTCATATTAACACAACCAATTGCAGAACTGAAATTTTTAATTTCATGGTCATTTGACAGAGAAAAATCTGACCAAACTACAAGCAGTAGCAGTTAAGTGTGTACAAATTAGATACATAAACATCCAAGATCATTAAAAGAAGCAAAGGACATCAAAATTTTGGTTATCACTTGAGTACAAGTTAGACTACTTTTATCCATACCATACAACTAAGTAGAGCAGTAAGCACCAACTAATTAGAGTGAATTATAGGCCATCTTGAGAAAGTTTGACTTACAGCTATAGATCTTTCTACAGCTTGGATGAAATCAAGTTTTTCCACCACAGTTTTATTTTGTCTTCCCGCAAGTAGAGCCGCCTCATTTACAAGGTTTGCAAGATCAGCTCTGTAACAATATAACAAGCAAGGTAGTCAAATTCGGGAATTCTACCTTTAGGAAAGGGGTAAAAATTGTTATGAGAATCATAAGATTTAACAAAATTAATACACATTTGGTAATATTCTTATAAATTAATATATACGCAAATTAGTGTGTGTATATATAACCCATATTCCATAAATGTCATGAATCATATTAACAAGTCATAGCCCATAAATTAGTAAAAGCTTAACAACACTAAAACACAAGTACAAAAAACATCAAGTTATAGCTAACACGACATAAAACTTGAAAACCTCAAGCAAATAGTAATATTTTAATCTTAGAGTCTAGATGTCTAATCTTATAAATGCGCCACATTATAATCACAAGGATCCAACATTTGATCCTCATCTTCAGCTCCATCAACTGGGGAACAAGGCAACAGAAAAAAAAAAGGTGGGTGTGGGGAACAACGAGATAGCAAGAGGGTGCACTCAAACAGAAACGGCAAAAGCATAAAAACCCTGCGTCAACAGAGAAACAAAGAAATTCAAGCAAAAAATAGAACAGAGAACAGAGACAAAATGATGGGTAGCAGCTGCACTTCAGTTTTCATTGTTGCAGATGCCTAGTGAAGAAGGAGCACCTCAATGTCAGGGTTCCCTAATTGAACAAAATGAAAGCAACTTCGAACAGTGTCGAACCAAATTGGGGATCACTAACTTAAAGCTGGTACAAAAAAATCATTTAAAAAAATTCATAGCATGTCAGTTTCAATTAATAAAAAAATCACACGCTTTTAGAGATTTTATGACTTGAATCCAAATTTCATTGGCCATTTGAATTTTTCAGAGGGATTAAAATATGATTTTTTTACTAGCATTGTACAAGTACAACAACAATAGTTTTATCCCACTAGGTGAGGTAATGATGAACAAGATTCCAACTGAAATTCAAATCTCCATATTTTCAAAAGAGGGAGAGTAGGCGAGAGCAGCATACTTACCCAGTAAAACCAGTGGTCATACAAGCAATGTCACCAAGGTCAACATCCTTGGCTAAAGGAAGTTCCTTCTTGGAAACGTGAACTTTTAGGATGGCTTCTCTTCCAATCCTATCGGGTGTTTCTACCTAAGAATTATGGGAAATTTAGTAAAGATATACATAATGTTGATAATTGTCAATATCAATGTTTAAACCATAGGATGTCATGTACTAAAAATTAAAAAATAAAAATACAGACCATAACGACGCGATCAAATCTTCCTGGCCGTCGAAGTGCGGGGTCCAAGACATCTGACCTATTAGTAGCTCCAAGAACAATCACTGCAGAACTGCTATCAAACCCGTCCATCTCCTGCAATGCAACTTTTAACAAATTAGTTTTATTAAAGTAGGTTTAACTGGACTTATTTCTTTACATTCACAAGAAAATGTCAAAGGAATGCTGACAGTGAGCAACTGATTCAAGGTTTGCTCCCGTTCATCATTGCTGACCATGCGAAATTTTCCATCACGACTTTTAGCAACAGCATCTATCTGCATACCAAAAGAAATATTCTTCTGTTTAATAAAGTGGGTGTGTTTTGGATAACTGCAAAAAGTTAAATTATTTCCATAATCAATTATTGTTATAATCGATTATAGTTAGAATAACATTTTGTTCCATTAAGTGTGCCAAAAAGTTATTTTAAGATAATTAATTTCATTTGGACACGGCAAAAAATATGTACAAAACTTAAAAAGAAAAATAAACTGTTAAGAAATAGTTATTAGTTCTAAATTTTCATACTCATAAAAACTAATTCATTTTTTCAGAGAAAAACAAATCTTTTACAAATTTCAGCTATTATCTCAAAAATGCCGCTGAAATTGCAAACAGCTTTACTATCCCAAAAACAGCCGAAATCTTTAATTAATCTTTCACAAATATGTTGAACCAAATGATCCAGCAGAACAGAAGAATATATATTTTTATACCTCATCAATAAAGATTATGGCGGGAGCCTCCCTTTTTGCCCTTGCAAATAGATCTCTAACACGGGAGGCACCCATACCAACATACAATTCTACGAACTCACTAGCAGAACAACTTATAAATGGCACATCAGCTTCCCCAGCCACAGCCTTTGCAAGTAAAGTCTTACCTGTGCCAGGAAGACCCACCTGTAAGATAACCAATAGATATTCACTGCCTAGATATCAATCTAAATCAATATTAAAAATCCTCACATACAGAAAAGACAAGTTAAAACCTTTCAAGAATTAATGCCCAAGACTGTCTATGCCATGCACATCATGATGCGGTCCCCTATATTGCGAGCTAATGATTACTTAAAATATGAGAATATGTTAAGAGGTATTAGACTTTGAAAGGATTTAAAAGTTTTTTTGGATAAAAAATTCTTATGTTATTCAGTCACAACTATCAGAATTCTTCAGGAGGACAACAAATTCATTGATATTCAATTACAAATACTTACAACTTATAAAACTCTTCCAGTATTCAACAATTACAAATTTCAATAGATTAGGATTAAGGATAGATTTCATGTGATTTTTAATACGAGACTTGCCTAGAAGCTTATTCTTTCTTTTCCAACTAGTTGTCAGTTTTCTTTCTCCCATTACACATAATCTTTCTCTTTTCATTGAAGACAAGGTCATGGCTGCGCTGATAGATTTTTAGCTAAACCAGTTGACAAATTTTCACACTCAGCATTATTAGATAACAAAATTGAACTTACTATTGATGCCCAAGAGCAAGAATGAGAAAATATTAATGTGTAGAGGGCTAGTACAGCTTATATATGAGCACAAATGTTGCTTAGCATGACATAGAGCTAGAATCTATTAGTTATTAAAAAAATTATATTGGTTTTACTTTTCCTTTTCTAATCCTTATCATTTATTCGTTGTTTCTTCATTGAATCTGGTTATATTTAATGTTTTTTATAAACCTACGGAATATTTCCAAATCTCATAATGATAAAATCTTTTCAAATCATTTAAATTCTGATATAAATAAAATATTTTGACATATGTGGCCCATTCTCAAACAATGAATCACAGCTATAGTGTTAGCTAATAACAACATATGGTTTCAGCCCAGTATACGAGTATCATTTTCAGACACTGTAGCTATAACTTACCAAAAGAACACCACGAGGTGGGCGAGCACCAAGCCTTACGTATCTGTCTGGATTTCGAAGAAATTCCTGGCAAGTGAACATCAGCATTGTCAAAACTAAAAACTTGTATCACCAGAAAAACTGAAGAGAATATAAGATAAAGCTAAACAATAAAAAGCCTTTAACCCTACAGACTGTAAGTGGTGAAAATAACAAGAGAGTCCAGCTTACCACAATCTCTTCTAACTCCTCTTTAGCTTCATCAACACCAGCAATATCAGCAAAAGTTACTGTTTCTCCTTGATCAGATGACTTCCTACCAGCAGAAGTGCCTGATTTGCGGTTCCGAATCTGACCAGCTGTATGCTGTCAAGCATACAATTATTTAGAAAAAATATCATTTTAAAGCGGTAGGAAGCCTAGGTTGTATGAGAAGGTCCAAGGAAATAAGATGGGACAGAATGCAAACTCACCTGAGAAAAGCTTCCAGGGACTCTATGGAGAAGCCCAGCAAGCACAGCAGCATAAAACAAGGCTATCTGTGAATATGAGAATGAAGTCAGTATGCCTCGTGTGATGAATCATATCATCATGGAATCAACCTTAAAAACCGAGGAAACTTATAACTAATTGGAATAAGCAGGTGAATATTTTGAACAAGCTATACAACATTGAATTGATAATGGATTACTAGTGAAAGTGAAAATAACCGTGTCATAAACTACAAATACAATATTGCATACCAAACAAATTTCGAAAAGCTTTTGTTATTTTGGGCAGATGGTTCACATGAATCCAATATAAAAGTTAGCTATTATTAAATGATCAAGGTAATTCAATGCTTTAAGAAATTAATACTCTAAATAGGATTATTGTGGCTTTCTGAAAATTATCCTTCTAAACTGGCATATTAATGATTCACAAAGGATGGGAGATGCATCCACAACTCTGCTCTTAAAGAAGGAAACACTTAAGTGCCAAGATTTTATTCCGCCCCTTCATTGTATTGGTAAAACAATTGTTTTGCTTCATTCTAAGAAATTGTTGAGAACGTGCCTTTGGATGTTGCATACTTTTAGCAAGATTTCAGACTTGTTCCAGTTTGAATATATCAAATTATTTTCATTCATTAGTCGTTAGTGGATTAGCTAGTTCCTACTTTTCAGCTAAGTTATTAGTGTGACTGCTAGAATAATGGGATGTGATATCTTGGTCAGTTATTTCTGAATGAATTTAAATTAAGTTGTGTAAAGATAATAAGATGCTATAGAAAACACTTTCTGTTGCACTCTATTCTTTTATCAATTTCTGTATCTTCACTGTTTTCTCCCGTTAGCCACTGCCTTTGTTTTCTTAAACCAAACTGTTGGTATTATAACTCTCTTCTTGAGGACCTGCGTCTGTGTTTTACAATACCATGGATTCTGAAGCAAGTTTTTCCCAAGCTGCCCTCCCAATCTTTGATGGGGGAAACTGCGACCCCTGGAAAGTGAGAAATGAATCTTACTTGGAGGTATTTGATCTTTGAAAAACTGTGAAAGAGGATTATGATGTCCTTCAGCTGTTGGACAATCCTACCATGACCCATATCAACAATCCTAAGGAGAATAAAACTCAAATAAACAAAGGCAAAAATCATGCCTTTAATTAAGCTGGTATCTCTACACCATCCTCACTAGGACCATGACTCTCAAATCTGCAAAAACAATTTGGGATTATGTAAAGGTGAAATATGTTGGAGATGAAAGAATACAAAGCATGCAAGTGCTTAATTTACAGAGGAAATTTGAGTTTCAAAGGATGAAAATAAAAGCTGCATAATTAAAGATCCAACAGGCCTTGGAATGTTCAAAGTCAACATGGGGAGCAAAAGCCAATGAAGGAGAAGTAAATTGCATTTCCACTTATAGCAAGCTCAGTTGATCTTTGGCACAAAAGGCTATGTCATTTCCACATTTGGAAAAGAACTACATGCTGAAAAATCAACTCGTCCAAGGAGTTCCTTCCTTGACAGAAAAGCCAACTGAATGTGAGGCTCATAAAATCGGGAAGCAAACAAAGAAACCATTTCCTAAAAGTAGTGGGACAGCCAGTCAAGGTTGCAGCTTGCTCACACTCATGTTGTTGAACCTCAAAGAACTTCATCACTAAAAGGAAGTCTCTATTATATAATATGTATTGCTGACCTAATGAGAATGTGTTGGATTTACTTTCTTAAATACAAATTAGAAGTAGTTGTGGTGTTCTAGTAATTCAAAGCACGTGTTGAAAATCCAACCAATTGTTGTATTCAGATTTTGAGGTTGGACAGTGGAAGAGAGTACATAGCTAATTAGTTTCAACAAACTTTTCATGAGACTGGGATTGGGCATCAATTGATGAAAGACTTCTTTGGTCAAGAAATCTATCCATCACTCAAAACAGCACACACTCACTCACCAGATTACTGGAAACAGAACTGTATTATTATTGTAACCAAAGAATACAGAAATAGGAGAGCACTCTCTCCTCCAAGGGTTTCCCATTCACAAAGAGCCAAAGCTCATTTTATCAAAGTTAAGAGGACCATATTAATTCATTTTTAAAATTTGAGGACCAAAATGTATCAAAGTTTCAAACAAGGATCATTTCCAATTTCACATCAATGTTTAATGATTAAAAACATACTTAACCTAAGAAAATATTTAGAAGGATGCTAAGACTTACAGTTATTTGTAGAAAATACAAACCTTGAGTTTTGTATTAAAACTCAAGGATGAAAATAGGGTAGAAAATTAATGTTGGTAGTTACTAGCTAGTCCCATACTAGAAACTACAGGATGGTTGTAATGTGTTTAATATAACCATGGATGGTGAGGTGCATCTATCAGATGGTAGATTTTGTAAAAGAATACTCACTACAGGAAAGGTTTGTTTATGTGAAAGCAGGTGTATTGTTATTTTGTGTATGATTTAAATGTCCATCATTATACTTTGTTACTTAATCATTTGGTGTTCTATAAGAGGATCTTCATATCCAATTCCGGAACCAATCTCCTCACAAAACAAAAGCCCGGTCCCACTATGTGAAGTTGGCTAAATGGATCGTATGGTGTCATTGCTCTAAACTAAATTCAGATAAGCTATAACTCACATTAAAAAGTCTCTAGCACCACAGTAATAATGCTATTACTAGTTTAATTCTCAAACTTCATATATCACTAAAACTAAACACATAACACAGGTGTTGCCACATTCTTACCAGTGCAGAGTTAAAGAATCCACCAGATCGCTTATCCGGGGACCCAAACTCCACCTTATTGTCCAGCATCTTTTCATAGGGAGTTCTAATATCACTTGGCCTTGTGGTAGTGTAAACTATCCTCTTAGTTGGCGCAACACTCTTCACCAAGGATTCTGATTCTTGCATCCTAATAATATTACTACTACTACTACCACCATTCCCTGCAACATCGTCCCCACCACCATCCTGGCTTGTTCCAACGCCAGCCTTCAACTTGAACATGATGTGGACCCCATCCACCTCCACTTTCTGCACCTGGTCACTATTGATCTTACTCAAAAACTCGCTATAAGGCACACTCACAAACACCGTCGGAGCCTTCGGGTCCGACCCGGGCAGTGGGGTTCCGGGTCGTAACAACCGCATGACGAAGAACCCAATCCCTATTTGCAAAAGCAGAATCCCAATTTCCTGAACCTGAATCAGTGGCTGCCACCGCCACCGCAACCGGCGCCACCGCGACCACCACCCGTCCTTCCGCCGGTTCGAACCGGCATCGTCTTCCTCGGTCTTCTCCTCGCCGGAATCGGCCGCAGAATCTGGTTCTCCGGCAGAACGACACGCCCATGATGATCGGTGGTGACCCCACAATCCGTACCTAAGAGGACCGTCGGGAAAAATTGGGCATCGGAAACGATGGAGGGTGTCGTAGAGGGAGGGAAGAGAAACCCTAGAACTTGCGCGGGAAAATGGTTGGTAGGGTTTAAATTTCGTGTGGGTTAAAGCTGAGAAATAGTGATAATGATAATCTAAAGGTAACATTCGAAGTGAGTAAGAGAGACCCGAATACGAAATATTGGAACTTAAAACGTGGGTATTGGAGTTTGCAGAGTTGCAACAATGGTGGGAAGGCGAAAGAAGAAAGAAGAAAGAAGAAAGAGAAAGAGAAGGTTATTTGAAAGAGAATGATAACCTTTGGATTGAGGGGGACTTGGAAGATCTGAACCGTCGATTTCCTTGTTTTTCGACACTCTAGTCAATGGTCAATAATATTCCCATCACTCATGTTTTGCTTCTCTCCTGAGTTTTGTATTTTTGTATTGTTTTTCTTTATTTCATACGCATGCATGAGATTACTATGCGTATCAATAATTTTTTAACTTGTGTTCCTTATGTTGTCAAAAAAATAAATTGTTATCTGTTTAATAAAAAATGGCATGTCATTCCAAAAATAAAATATATAACTGATGTGTGGATAAGATTTTGAATAAGACTCATTCTTGGGTTTCCAATAAATTCAAGTTCACCTTGAGGATGGTTCATCTATAAGAGTGTGGAACCAAGGAGCCTAATTATTTTTGTGCATTAAATTATGCTGAGAATATTAAAAATCATAGTCAAATATCAACTATTAAAAACGCACCTAAAACCCCTCTGAACGGACGTCAGGTGTCAAGCAACGAGGATCCGAAAATCAGATAGTGAAATACAGGTGTCAGCAGAGGAGCGGACGTTCGTTTTAAACAAAACTGATTTTTCTGAAATTCGCGTCACACTCTCTGCATGCACTCTTCTTCTCCAAAACTCTGATCTTTCATTTCTCCTCCTTCTCTTTAAAAAGCTCTCCCTTCTCTCTACCAAAACTCACCATTTCTCTATTTCGATATCCATTCAGGCACCGTAGAAGCACTCCCGGCGTCCAGAGCTTCAGTTTGAACCGAACAGTTTCGAGTTCTAAACTGGTAAGTTTTTCTTTTCCTTAGTCGTTCGTTCTCTGGTACATGCAAACCAAGTACCGGTTGCATGCTGTTATCTTGTCTGAACCATTATTGGTTTTTGGCTGTTTGGTTAGTTTGAAGAGTTGTGGAACGTAAGGGTAGAAGGATCTGTAGTCAGACGAACCGTATTCTGTCACTAGGACGATCGTTCACGCTCAGAGGTAAGGGAAGCTTATTAATTTAATTCGTATGATTATGTGTTGCATGAATGTTTGTTGATTTGATTGGATATGAAAAATGATTGTGCTATGTTATGATGCATGAAATATATGAAATTTCTATGTTTGGATGGTATGAAATATGAAAATTGATTATGATATGAATGTATAAAGTTATGAAACTATATGTTAAGAAATGAGTTGAAATATAAATAATTCTGGTATGAAATTTCCCCTATGAAAGGGTGTGTTCGTCACTGAACGGTCATTGACTGTTCGGTATTTTTTAGTAATCTTGGTTAGAATTGGATTCTTTCATTTGGGAAGAATCCTAGTTGAGGACGAGCGTCTTCGTGTGGTAATACTATGCTTGAGCGTTCGGCCAAGCGTAATTGCATCTGAGTATTCTATGATAAACTTAAATTGTGTAAATATATGTATTTGTATATTTTAGTTATTCTTAAACA